ATATAATCGGACAAATTATTGGTGAATAAAATTTGAAGATTTTATATATAAAAAAAAGATATGTATGGTTGTGGAAATATATATTGATGAAAAAAAGGATATGATATCTTTAGTACAAACTAGGAATGAGCATATAATATCGATATATGATGTTTGATATTTTAATATCGATATTCTGTTATTGATAATATCAAAAAGATTTATCGATAATTTTATTTGATATTGAATATCGCATTGTTTGATCGGAATTATTGAATATATATATTATATATTCAATATCATTTGATATTGAATATCGCATTGTTTGATCGGAAAGTATTAAATATATATATTATATATATTCAATAAATTATTGAATATATATATTATATATATTCAATAATTCCGATCAAACAATGCAATATTCAATATCAAATAAAATTATCGATATCTTTTTGATATTATCAATAACAGAATATCGATACTAAAATATCAAATATCAAAAGAATTATATCCATATTGTCGATATATCGATATCATATGCTCATCCCTAGTACAAACTAGTAAAGAAAGTGAAATAAAAACGAACAGCCTTGTAATATATTGTATAAACATGTTATTGTCAAAGTCCGAAGCACGGGCGTTCCTAAGATTGACTAATCAATGAGGAACCAAACTTGGTCAAAGCCCAAATGGATATTTGAGACGTATAAAATATTTTGTTTGTATCATATATTATCGTACACGGTTGAGCGGGCACTTCCTTTTCGTAAAAACCTAACCTTTCTAATCTATTTTTTTTTGTTAGAGTAGAAGATGGCCTTAAAAACGGAGCTAATTGGCCCTATGATATATCATTGATAAGCTAGGATATTCTTTCTTATCAATCTCAGAAAGTCAATATCAATATCAGGAAGAGTATGTATAGAGTACTACCTCTGTAAGTAACTTTCAAATTCTAACTTGTGCAGTTCTTGTCCCTACTACCACGCGATACACGGCTTTCTTTCACAGTGGGCGTTTCCATCTGTGTCGGGCTCGTGGTCGAGATGTTGTGACTCTGATCGCCTTGTAGAAGGGAAACTAATTCGAGATTATACTTGAATTTTAATTTTTGGAATCTCGATTCAGTTCGCCGATTAATCGATAAACTCGATTGAAAAGGACCGGCCTGGAAAAAATCCTTAGGTGGTGAGCGGATTTGAACTCAAGACCTCCGGGTTCGCAGCCCTTGCACTCGAGCCGCGAGACCACTGGGCTGATCAACCTACTTAATCGAGTTTATATTAATATCACTGCGATAGTAGCGTACATTAAAAAATACGCAAAAAAATTATTTCGGGCTTTGACCAAGACGCTTGGTTATTCCGCGCATTGACCAGTCAGTCCAAGGAATACCCGTGCTTCAGGCTGTTACGTCCTGGCCCACGGTTACGGTCGAGCTATGGTGGAGTAAGAGAGACCTGTCGTTTCTTTTTATCTCCGCACAGCAGGTTGGCGATCCCGCTGCGGCAGAGTCAAGCGAGTTTGTGTGCTCTCACGGATAGGTCAACGGCGTATGCCGATCTTACTCTATCTTATGAGGCCCCGCTCATTGGTCTCTTTTTGAGTCTAGAAATTTAACTCTATGAAACTAAGGACGAGACCGTGCGATTAATTGAGGATGTGGATGATGAGAGGTCGTCTTAATTAAAAGGAAAAGATTATAATACGTATAATACTAATTTATTCATTTAAGGGTGTTTACGTTACAATTTGTAGGTGTGTTGTCGTGTGGATGGATGTAATGTTGCGAATTTTACAATGAATCGGAGGGTCATCGCTCAGAGGCTAGAGAGGGGGAATATATATATATGTATGTATGCGTGTCGCAAGAGTGTGTGTGTGGAGCCTCCGGCGGGATTCTACAAATGTAAGTGTGTCAGGTGTATGTGTAAGACGCCGATTCGTGGTATAGAAATCATTCTAGATCTCTTTCTATAATCTCATGGATTTCTGCGGAACTAGGGAAATATAAAGGGGGAAATATAAAGTAAAAATAGGGGACTGGGACTAAGCGGATGTCATCTAGATAAGGAAATTTGACAGGGAGGAGTTTTCTGGATGGGGTGGTAGATATCAAATGGAAGAGGTCGGAAGGATCTATTGTTAAAGGATCGATTATAAAGGGGATTCTTTTTGGATCTGCTTTTCGGTAAGTGGAGGCTAGTCGGAAGAAATGTTGGAATTTAGGATCTAGCGGTGGGGAGGGTGATTGTGAGGAATCGGAGGATTCATTGTCCGCGGGTTCTTGCCCGGATGTAGAAGGTAGAGGGAAAGGATTGCAGATCCGCGGGATTTTCTGCGAGACAAGCGGGTTTTCGGAGTACGTTGGAGAAAGGGAGCGAGGAGGTGAAGGCGGTGGATTGTTCACAAGGGGAGCAGGGGAGAATTGAGTGTCTGCGGGAGGATCGGGGGTTACAGGTGAATAGGAGGGAGCTTCATACCACGAATCGTCGTGTGTATGTGTGTCTGTGTGTGTTTCTACGTGTGCGTGATCGTTGTTATTATTATTTTGTGCGTGAGAGGTGTCTACGCGCGAGTGTGTCGGTGGGTGTGCGTGCGCGTGCAATGAAGTTATGTGTGTATTGCTGGGGTTTCTTATTTTATTGTCGCTGCTGCAATCGTTTCCTAATGTCTGAGAAAGAGTGGCGTCAATGGGCCTGGTCGGCTCCGCTACGTTTAGCGCGAGCGCTGCTGCTTGTCGCAATTTTACGTTGCGTCGGTAGCGTTAGGCCTTTTTACCCGTTCGCGAAGTTCTCTGCCGGGGTTCCACTTAAACAATTTTATGCAATTACACTCACTTTATGTTACTGTATTTTCTTTTGTTATTGTATTTTCTTGGCTTCGCGACCGTTTTTGGAGATGTTGAGCCTTGTTTACTACGTGGTTTGAGGAAGAAAATGAAGAAAAATATTCGGCTGCCACCCGAGAGACGGCTATACACCGCAAGTAGCTTTTCTAAAAAACTTGGCTGCCACCCGAGACGGCTATACACCGCGAGTAGCCCTTCCAAAAAATTCGATTGCCACCCGAGACGGCTATACACCGCGAGTAACCCTTCCAAAAATTTCAGCTGCTACCCGAGACGGCTACATATCGCGAGTAGCCCTTCCGATTAAACCGAATTGTGAGTGTATTTATGTATTTGTTTATTTTGACCGTTTTCTCGATATCTCCGAAAATCAGTCGCAACATCAGCTTTTAATTTCGCGAGAAGTGGAACCTCCGTATATATAATAATGTGGACTTACTACTTAGATGATTGCTGGCTGCGATTTCCTTCCTCCCTTCGGCCCGTACGGCTTGGTAGACAGCTCGGAACCTGGTGCGGCTTCGGTGTTTGGCGGATCCTCGGCGCACTACTCGCACTTGCACTTGCAACTATTTATGCTCACTCGTCGCGAATTTGCTGCGGCATTCCCGGCGGAATCAGTAGATTTTTCTGATTCCAGCTCCGAGAGTCCCGTCTTATATACTCTTTTGAGTCAGCGAGTGCTCACCAAGTTTCTTCCAATCGGAAAACTCGGTTGGGCCTTGCTGGTTTCTATTTGTTAATTAGTCGTCGGGTAAACTTTATGAGATCGCCAATCGGCGACGATCTCTCGGCTTGGTCGACTCGTCCGATTTTCCGGAGAAGGGAAAAGGGAGAGTGTTGGTTTCCGATCACGCCACCTAGACCCTTTGCTATTTGTTTATAATAAAATTGCTTGTGGCGCCGGAGTTCTATTTGCTCCGGCTGGTCTAATTTTTATGAGCGGTGTTCTTCCTGGCTCGGAGATATCCGAGTTTGTTTAGGATGTTTAAACACTAAGTTTAAAATTTCGGGTTATTACTAGGCGCGGTTTATCTTTTCGGGCGCCAGTGTGATTTCCGTTTGCTCTCCTATCGTCTGGAGTCCAAGTCTCCAAACGATAGGAGGTCTGCTCGAAGTATTTATTGCTTTTTATTATTTCTAGAAGGGAAATTTGTTATGCGTTGGCGCGTCGCGTTGCAAGAAAAAGGGGCCCGTGGAGTCCCCAGGACGTAACAAGGCTTTGACCATGTTTTTAATACTTATATTATTATTTTATAACAAGTAAAAAAATTATTATATAACAATTTTATTAACAATTAATTATTTTATATCTCAGTTATATACCATTTTAGTAATTCATATAATTGTTATATACAATGTACATTGTTATATACATGTACTCTTTCCATTACTATTGCAAGTAATATAACATCTTAATAACGTGTTATACTCAAAAGATAAGTGACGCAAGTGTCTCTCTCCGATTTTGATGAGCTTTGAATATGTTGTGTAGAGTAACTAGAAATAATAGTTTTTTTAATGTGCTTTCGCGTGCACGTTTAGGGGGTGATCCCTTTTGACAAAAAACGGTTTTTTTCTTTTTATGCAAATGTCACCACGGTAAGAGATATAAAAAACTATTTCAAATAAAAGTTACATAGTCTTTTATAGATGTTATAACCGCATAGGTAAATGTTTGTTTAATTCAACATTTTTTATTTACCCTTCTCTATCATTATTTGTTTCACAAATTTCAACATTTTTGTAAAAACAAACTGTAGCACGTGTTACGCTAAATGCAACTGTATATAATGTTAGTATGATTCAAAATCGCATCTTTCAGAAATAAATCGTCAATATCGCACTATACGTTGCACTGCATGACTCATCATTTATGTCGCGCTTTTATCGTAATAAGCAATAAAAAAAATTAAAGAATGAAAATAGTATATCGTCACGTATTTGACAACGTTCTAATCACAGATTAAAGATCAAAATTTACTAACACACAGTATTGCTAAAGTATCTCTTCTACTGATACTTTACACTCTTATTAATAATCACCGTTCGCAGGGCGTTGTCATATGCAAGTCAGCTATTGTACATTACGCTTGGAAGTTTTGTTTATTATATAGTGATATGAGAAAAAAATATGTAAACAGATAATAGTGAATACAAAATAGTG